CAGAGGCTGCGCCATTTTGCAGTCCCACCAACAATGTATGAGAGTTCCTTTTTCTCTGCAACCTCGCCAGCATTTATCGTTCAGAGTCTTTTGGATTTTAGCCATCTTAACTGGGGTGAGATGGTATCTCAGTGTGGTTTTGATTTGCATTTCCCGGATGCTGAGTGATGTTGAGCATTTTTTCATATGTTTGTTGGCCATTTGTATATCTTCCTTAGAGAAATGTCTATTTAGCTCTTTTGCTCCACCAGATTCTTAACTCTTTGAAAACAGGTACTGTGTTTTATTCTATTTTATATTCCTGGTGCATTGCACAGTTGTTGGCATATAATAAGCACTTAGAAATATTTGTTGAAGAAATGGGGATAAAATGTAGCTTACTCAGTGAAACTATTTTGTCTGATACTATAATGGTGGATACATGTCATTATATATTTGTCAAAACCCATAGTACAACACCAAGAGTGAACCCTAATCTAAACTATGGTCTGTGGGTGATAATGAGTTGCCAGTATAGGTTCATAGATTGTAACAAATTTACCACTCTGGTGGGGATGTTGATAATGGGGAGGCTGTGGAGGTATATGGGAAATCGCTATACCTTCCTGTCATTTTTGCTGTGAACCTAATATTGCTCTAAAAAATAAAATGTTTTTGAAAAAGCAGCTAGTTAGCAAATTGTTAGTTTTTTTCCTCCCTAAATATGAAACTTTAGAAATATTCCTGCATTCTTTTTTTTTTTTTTTTTTAAACAAAGATGACCAGTAAGGGGATCTTAACCCTTGACTTGGTGTTGTCAGCACCACACTCTCGCAAGTGAGCCACAGGCTGGCCCTGTTCCTGCATTCTTTAATTCTGTAGTCTTTTTGTCCAACCAAAAATTTTTCAAGGGAAACGCATCTTTCGTTTCAACAGAAATTTAACTTACATCAAACTTTTCCAGATTTATTTTGTTAAACAATGACTTTCCACTGAAGTGTACAGTGGATTTAATGAAAGTAAATATCTACTGACTGATTCCTTATTAATGAGATATATTTATTATTTTTAACTAAGGTTAATTAATCATTTTTGTTTCCTTTTCAGTGTGCTCATGGATAACATGAAACATGTATTAAAACTAAATAAGTTAATAATGAAATCACAACAGGTAAGCTTGAGCATTAGGCTACTTATACATTCTCATGATTTTAGTAACAACTTGCTGGTAACTGTATTGTATAATGATTAAATAGATTTGTGCAAAGGGACTGGTATGATTGGAATTCACTCTCCTTAAGTTGTTTCTTTCCTTTTTTCTTTTTTTTTTTTAAGCTGGTCAGTACAGAGATCAAACCCTGGACATTGGTGTTATCAGCACCACATTCTAACCAACTGAGCTAACCGGCCAGCTTAATTTTTTCATAACTCCATTATTTCTCACTGATGTTGCAAATCATCTATTTATAATTTAAACCTTGTCTTCTCCCTTTTGTGTGTGGAAATAGACGAGTTGAAAACCAAAGCTTTAGTAAACATAAAATAATATATAAAACTTAGTGATTTAAGTATTATATAGATTTGTTCTTAAGTAATGTGCTTTAATCTTTTTATTCTTAATAACAGGAGTCTTGGGATTTAGAGGAAAAACTGCTTGATGTTAGAAAGAAGAGACTGCGTATGTAGAACACTTTTTTTTCCTTTTTTTGGTGGAACATGTTTTCACCTACTTTGGAGATTGAGAAGGCCAGATCTCTTAGCCAGTGAGAAATTTCTTAAAATTTTGGACGTGACAATTTAAAAAGGAGGATTTAAAATACATTTTGCTTTGTTTTTGTTGTTTTAACAGCACCGCACTCTCCCGAGTGAGCCACAGGCCGGCCCCTGTTTTTGTTGTTTTAAAACTTGATTGTTGTTGTTGTTTGTTGTTATTTTTTGGCAGCTGGCCAGTATGGAGAGGATCCGAACCTGTGACCTTAGTGTTACCAGCACCATGCTCTCTCAAGTGACGTAACTGGCCAGCCCTTGTTTTAGAACTTTAAATCACAAAATTAGTAATAGATTCTCAGTGGAGGGGAGGGGGGAATCAAATGATACAGAAAACTATAATGCAGAAGACATGCCTCCTCTTTGTGCGACCACAAGTTTTGTATATATTACTCTGGGCCTTTTTCCATACCCATATAACATTTTATATATACATAATTTCTTTTTTTTTTTTTGTGACCGGTAAGGGGATCGCAACCCTTGGCTTGGTGTCGCCTGCACCACTCTCAGCCAGTGAGCGGACCGGCCATCCCTATATAGGATCCGAACCCGCGGCGGGAGCGCCACTGCGCACCCAAGTGCCGCGCTCTCCCGAGTGCGCCACGGGGCTGGCCCAATATATATATACATAATTTCTAAATGATCAATTGGTACATACGGTTTTACAGCCGTTTCACTTAATTTATCATGACATGAGATGGCTTTTTGCATTGAAACTATTGAAATGTTTATTTCAAAAGCAATACACATTAAAGTATGGTGGTATAACACCAAGGTGAAGGGTTTCGATTCCCCTACAGCCAACTGCCAAAAACAAAGTCATACACATTCTCAGTGGAAATTTAGAAACAGAAAAGTAAACATAGGAAAAGTTAATTTTTTAATTTTACTTATCAGTCTTCAATGGGTATTTCTTATAAAATTGGCATAATTTTATTCTGTGTTCTAAACTGCATTTAACAGTACAGGCATGATTTATTATTTTATTTTACTATTATAAAACATTATATGGATTTGCCTGTTATCAAGTAATTTCAGGGTCAGAAGTAGTCTTGGTCATCCAGTCTACTCATCCATTTGATGTTTCATTTTTCCCATTGCATTCTAACCTACCTTTTGATATACATTAGTGTCAAGTGTACCCAACTTTTCCATACACTAGTATCAAGGAACAAATCCCTAAGACACACCTATTTATTTATATTTTCAAATAGTTTGGGGCTGGCCCGTGGCTCACTTGGGAGAGTGTGGTGCTGATAACACCAAGGCCACGGGTTCGGATCCCATATAGGGATGGCCGGTTGCTCACTGGGTGAGCGTGGTGCTGACAACACCAAGTCAAGGGTTAAGATCCCCTTACCGGTCATCTTTTAAAAAAAAAACAAATAGTTAAATTCTTAGAATATTTTGGGAAATACAAAAAATGGTTGATGATGTTTATCCCCCAAGAAGAGAATCTTACTTTTTATTTAAAATTTATCTTGGGCTGGCCAGTTAGCTCAATCCCCATACCAGCCAGCTGCCAAAAATAAAAAATTAAATTAAATGTATTTCATGTCATTTTTATAATTAAAGGAGAAAAAAGCATTCCCTTACATTGATATTTATTTCCTACCTATTCTTTTGGCATCCCAGAATAAATCTTCTTTTACATGATGCCACTTCAAACATTTGTCATACATAAATTGCTTGAACGTATCACTGAGGGTATTGCTAAGTATAAAATTAAAATATTGTTATTTTTGCACCAGGGAAGTCATTTTCAGAAAAAAATAAAATTGAAACCTAAAATTCTGTTTATTAAAAGTTTCCTTTCCTTCCCTTTTTTTTTTTTTTTTTGGTGGTTGGCCAGTAAGGAGTAAAAGTTTTCTCTTGACTAAAATAACCAGGAAATGTTCTGCTTCATAATTTTTCAAGATCCTTGTTTGTAGGGTTGTCATATACAGTATGTTTTATTTTAACCTAATAGAATTAAAACAAGCTTCAGAAAGTAAGCTTTTAGAAATACAGACTGAAAAGAACAAACAGAAAGATGATTTGGACAATATGGAAAATTCGGACAAGATAAAGACCATACAACAAAACCTACAGAAGGAGATACAAATTACTACAGTTATTCAACATGTGTTCCAGGTAACACTTATATAAATTAGGAAGGTAGATAAAGAATGTTTTTTTTTTTAAATGATTGATGCTATTGCAGTATTGACTGACTTTCAGTTAATTTTTGGTCTTAATAAAATAATTTAATACTGAGTATTGATCTGTTTACATATATCTGAATTAATGTATATTTAAAGATTAAGGCCTTGATTTTTCATTGTGGTTAGACCTTACGTATTTATAAATAGAATGACTTTTTGCATCTCTGTGGAGGCAGAATCATCTTATGGTGGAGAGCAATTGATTCCAAGTTGGAAGTGCAGGGAGACATGGATGGGGGTGATGGGAATCTAGGGTTAAGATTCTACTTAATAGTTGCAAGTGACCTTGAGCAAATTACTTAACTTTTCGAAGCATCAGTTTCCTTGTTTAGAAAGAGTGGTTGTGAGAACTAAAGAAGATAATTCATGTTAATCTGTTTAGCATAGTGTCTGGTCCAAGTAAATTCTTAATAAATGTTGGCAGTTATTATCATGTCAGTTTTTAAATTTCATACATTCCTTAATTCTAGATATTTTTAAATTACTTTTTGAATTGTAAAATGTCTCTGGAATTGTTGAGATAAAATATTTAAATTACCAGTTTTCGGTGATGTAAGATATGCAGTTAAACTATATAAAGCAAGTGCTGACTTGTAAAATATGAGGTCTTGCAACTCCCTGGGTCTTATACTGTACCTGCTTTATAGAAGCAGTGGGTGATTGGATTAAGAGTGACCAAATCCCCTACACTAACCTAAAATGGAGGATTAAATCATGAGTACAGAATTATTTTACTTTTTTTTGGCACATGTCCCTTCCATGCTGCTTTAAGCCTTCAATTATTCTTCATTTCTTGATTTTTATTCATCCTCTATAAATTAATATTAATTTTGATTTAATTAACTCCTCGCTTTTTTAAATAGAACATAGCTTTGGCCAACTTTAGGAGCTCTCTTTATTCCTAAGATCAGCCTTTAGGGGTTCAATCATGTTTGACTGCTAGCTTCCACCCACCTTTGTAGATTTGACTGAATTTATATACACTAGCCCTTTCATTCACTTATAGCAAGAATATGCTTTATATAAACAAAGTTTTTAATACTTTATTTTTTTTTTTGTCTTTTTTTTTGTGACCAGTAAGGGGATCGCAACCCTTGGCTTGGTGTCGTCTGCACCGCACTCAGCCAGTGAGCTCACCGGCCATCCCTATATAGGATCCGAACCCACGGCGGGAGCACTACTGTGCTCCCAGAGCCGCACTCTCCCGAGTGCGCCACTATACTTAACAATATAACCCTTATACTCTAAAATCTGCTTTAACATTATTTCAATCAGTAATTCAGTATCACTGAGCCATGGTTTTTCAAAGAATAATGACCAGAATTTTCATTAATTATGATCCTAATCATTTCTCCATTGTCTACTACAAAAAAAATATTCTTCGGGCCAGCCCGTGGCTCACTCAGGAGAGTGTGGTGCTGATAACACCAAGGCCACGGGGTCGGATCCCTATATAGGAATGGCCGGTTGGTTCACTGGGTGAGCATGCTGCTGACAACACCAAGCCAAGGGTTGAGATCCCCTTACCGGTCTTTAAAAAAAAATATATATATATTCTTCACCTTTTTCAGGATCTTGAAACATTGCAAGCGCTAAGAACTCAGCTGTTCTTTTACCTCTTTTGAAAATAGGACATATTATTTATGATTAAATTATTTTTTAATATAGAAGTGTAAAATGAACTCTGAACCACAGCTGCAGTCTTTTTCCTCTAATTTAGGATAGCACTACCAATTTTCCTTAATGAGTAAAAACTATACATGGAAACCAATGAAGTATAAAAAAATTATTGTAGGCATTATAAATACTTATTAGTATTATGGGTATCAAGGCTGAAGCTTTACTAAAAATGGGAATGAAGATAAAAATGTATTACTGTGTTTTCTCATGATCACGGAGCTATACACCTAGTAAATGTTCAGTAAATATTAGGTAAGATCAGTGAAAAAGGATTTTTGTAAATCTTTTTGTAAATTTTTATAAGTACCTATAACTTAAAAAAAATTTTTTTTTTATTACAGGGCCTCATTTTGGGGAGTAAAGTCAATTGGGCAGAGGATTCTGCCTTTAAGGAAACTGTTCTGCAGCTTGAGAAGAATCTCACCACAATCTAATAATGTTTTGGCATTTTGTGTTTTTGTCTTTGATATGTCATTTAAATAGCAAATACCAAGTGAAATGTATTTGTGTTTTGGAACTATTCTAATACTGCAATTTTTTTTTTTTTTTTTAAAAGATGACCGGTAAGGGGATCTTAACCCTTGACTTGGTGTTGTCAGCACCACGCTCAGCCAGTGAGCAAAGCGGCCATCCCTACATAGGATCCGAACCTGTGGCTTTGGTATTATCAGCACCGCACTCTCCCGAGTGAGCCACAGGCCGGCCCTACTGCAATTTTTTTTAGCTTGAGTTAACACTATTACATGAAATCTGTTGTTTTAAATATGATCATTAAAGTGACTGGCATACTCTAAAAGAATCCAGAAATCTTAGCCTTGGAAGGAAGACATCTGGTCCAGCTTTCTGTTGAATGTGGACATTTTTTGTACAATATTCTTGGCAGTCCCAACTCTTATTTGAAATACATTTGTGCATTTGTTTGTCAACCAAAGTAATAGAAAAGTACATCCAAAGTGTTAACAGTTGTGGTTATTTGTAATGGGATTGTGAGTGATTCTTTTTCATTTTGTATTTGTATCATGCATTATTTTATAAATGAAAGTTATAAATGTTTCTCTGTCATATTAATTAAAAAATATAACTTGCTGTTGTTGACCAGTACCCCGAGGGGAGAAGGTGGGAAATGAAGAAAGACATGATTTCTTTTATGGAATCAGAAGTACCTTGCAGGCTGCTGACCTGTAAGGCATCTCAGTTTATTTTTGGTTCCTTTTTATAAGCCAGTAAAAATAACAAATCATACTGATTAAATCAATTATATTTGGTACCAAGCTATTTACAGAACATTTTCAGCTGCCATGGTGCTTGAAGATTCATAGCTAACTACTTATCAACAAAATTAGAACATAAGTTCCTTACTTACAAAGCTTCCAGGGTCCTGGGTTCAATCAAAGGTCAGACCTCAAAGGGAGGGAGAAGGGGGAAGTAGGCAAAAGGGATGACAGTCTTGCTGGTTTCCCTAGAATAGCAAGGACTTTGTCAGCTTGATTATTCAGTACCCCACAACTTGCTACTTTTTATAACATCCCGTTTCATTTTTGGAAAACTCTAATTTGAGCTCTTTATTAGTTTGGAACTATTGATTATTTTTATAGGCAATGTAGTTTGTTCAACATTCTTTTTAGAAAGAATTTAAACTTGAAAAGATTCACTGAAGTTGAAATTTGTTCTTTAACAACAGAAGCACAAAGATTTGCCTAAATTCATTCTGAACACTTTTTTCTTTAAAATATTTAAAGTTTTACTCCATTTGTCAATAAATCATAATTTATGTGTAGTTTTATTCTTTTGGCCACAGTGTATTGTCTACATAGATTGTTGCAAAGCAAGTTATATTTTTCTTACACACAAAAACATTTTTTTGGAAAATGCCTTCCTGGGGCCGGCCCATGGCTCACTCGGGAGAGTGCGGTGCTGATAACACCAAGTCAAGGGTTAAGATCCCCTTACGGGTCATCTTTTAAAAAAAAAAAGAAAAGAAAAAAAAATGCCTTCCTGATCTAAAAATAAACCTTAACTAAGTCATAGATAATCACTATGTAAGTGAATCCCAACCCAATGGATTATCAGTATCTTCTGAAAAACTTTGCATTTTCTTGGGATTTTATTGCACTACAAGTTCCTTCTTAAAGCCCAACTCAGAGAGAAATTGCGTTAGTCAGCTTTTCCTGAAATCATGCAGAGTAACAATCAAATCTCAGTGGCTCATAACAAACACTTATTTCTGTCTTGGGTCTGTGGTTCATCTGACCATTCTAGGACTTAGGCTGAGGGCAGTCACATTGTCATGGCAGAGAGCAGGAGTTTATCAGGCCAAGTCCAATTACATAAGCAAAATCAAAGTTTCTGCTTGGAAAAGGTGGCCACTGACCAAGCCCTATATCATTAAGGCAGAAAAGTATACCTCTTCCACAGCAGGGGAGTGCTGGGTTTGAATCAAGAAAATGGATGTTTGCTAAAAAGCACACAATCTGCCATAGTCAGCTGTCTTAGTCAAATACTAACTTCACATATGAGGAAAATATTAAGTCATTCAATTATGATATTATTTGAAAGTTCAGGATCTCCTGACAGTATTTTTTTTTTTTTTTTTTTTTTTTTTTTCCTTTCTGGCTGCTGGTCCCTATGGAGATCCAAATCCTTAACCTTGGTGTTAACACCATGGTCTAGCCAACTGAGCTAGCCAGCCAGCCTTTTAATCTTTTCTTATATGAAAGGTAGCATACTATGTATGTATACTCCTCTGCATCTTACTTTTTTCATTTAACCTATATCTAAGAAAGTTTTCCGTATCATACATACAGAACTTTCTCATTAAAAAAAAAAAAAAAAAAAACAATTACATAGTATCACAATGTGGGATATACTTATAGTTTGTTTTAGCCAATCCCTTCTTTATGAATACTTTGCAGGCTCCAATTTTTTGATAACACAAAAAATGGTTGCAATAGCGAATCTTTTTTTTTTTTTTTAAAGATGACCGGTAAGGGGATCTCAACCCTTGGCTTGGTGTTGTCAGCACCACGCTCAGCCAGTGAGCAAACCGGCCATCCCTATATAGGATCCGAACCCGTGGCCTTGGTGTTATCAGCACCGCACTCTACCGAGTGAGCCACAGGCCAGCCCTACAATAGCTAATCTTTCACTTTTGCCATTTCCAACGTGTGCAAGTGTATCTGTAGGATAAATTCTCTGAAGTATAAGAATTTGCTAGGTGAAAGAATAAATCATTAGTAATTTTGCATTTTAAAATTACGAAATTGGCACAGCCTTATAACACCAAGGTCATGGGTTCGGATCTTCAAACCGGCCAGCCACCAAAACAAACAAACAAATTACCAAATTACTCTCTACAGAGGTTGTACCATCTTTTACTCCCACCAACAATGTACGTGAGCACCTTCGTCCCACAGTCTCTCCAGAGTGTGTTGTCTAAGTTATGTGTGTTTGCCAATTTGACAGAAGAAAAGTGTTTCAGTTTAAATTTTTCTTAAAGTAAGGTTGAATGTCTTTTAACATTTTTAAGACCCATTAGGATTTTTCAGTGAACTGCCTGTTAATGTTTGCCTATCTAATCACTTTATCAGTCTATTTTTAGAAAATGTTGCTAAAACAAGTTTTGAAAGCTTTAAAAAAAATAGGTTTATAGGCTTCTTACAGACATACTGAATCAGAATAATCCATATTTGGGTTCAGAAATTTATATTTCTAAAAGTCTCCCCAGATTTATATATTTTTTATTTTTTTTAAAAAGATGACCGGTAAGGGGATCTCAACCCTTGGCTTGGTGTTGTTAGCACCACGCTCACCCAGTGAGCTAACTGGCCATCCCTATATAGGATCCGAACCCGTGGCCTTGGTGTTATCAGCACCACACTCTACCGAGTGAGCCACGGGCCGGCCCTCAGATTTAGTCCCCTTATTGGCTAGCCGCCAAAAACTAAACAAAACCAAACCAAAAAAACTAGAAATCACTGACCTATACCATTAAAACAAATTGGTCACTCTAAATATGTACAATAACTTAAGGCTATATTACCTGCAAAGTTATGTTAAATGGCCACAACATATTGTGTATTAAAAATTATAACAAGGTAAGCATTTATATCTATCATAGAATTTAATATAGCTTTGGGGAAATGATATGGCTGGCTTATGTTTCAAAAATCAAGCCCTGAACTTTTTGAGTTCTCTCAAACTTGAAGCAGAGGCAACAGTTCAATATTAGGAGAAACGAATGGCAGAGAAACAGAAACAAATTAAAACCAAGCAATGCCAATCAGCAAAGGAATATGAGGGTACTTCAAAAAGTTCATGGAAAGATTATTTTTAAAGATGACCAGTAAGGGGATCTTAACCTTTAACTTGGTGTTATCAGCACCACACTCTCCCAAGTGAGCCACAGCCCAGTCCTATGTTATCTTTTAATTCTATTTTTACACGGACATTTTGAAGTTTTCTTGTATGGCATGGCCCTTATTAAACCAGAATTTTTTCTTAGCTTGCTGTTAACTCTCACGTTTTAACAAGACTGTTAGTTCTAGGAAGCCACAGAGCTTGTATTACTTATTTGATTTCAGATTAAGTTTTGAACTATACCGGAATTAGAAACTGGCTATGTGGGAAGAAAATGGTCCTAGATAATTTATAGGCTAATGACCAAATAAATCCAACATGCAAAAACCTTCGTCTGCAGAAGGGAACAGTAGAAAACACGTGGGCCAGTTCCTAGGCGGGAGGAAGGGTGGGGCGGGACCAGGCGCAGGGGGTGGGCCCCGCCCGAGCGCCGCTCGCTCCGCCTCTGCGACGTCACGTCAAGGCAGGGCCCGCCCCAGCTGCCCGTGGCTCGTGTTATCTCCGGGGCTCGCCTGCGCCCCGGAAGCTGCCCCTTCTTGGGGGTCAAGATGGGCAGCAAAATGGCGTCTGCCAGCAGGGTCGTGCAGGTAAAGAGATCGGGTTACCTTTCCGCACCTTGGGTGGTAGGGATGGTGTGGTGGTAGGGATGGTAGGGACCAGCGGCGCAGGGAGGAAGGCGGTGGAGGCGGCTGCGC